GGGAAATGTAGACAAAGTGACTGAGCAGTGGAGTCTGTCTCTTCATTCAGTTACAGTTTTCAGTCACATTCTATGTCAGGCTCTAGTAAGACTGGATTTTTAGTTACCACAAAACATTGCTACCTACAAAGAAAAAGCTAAATTCATTATTTTAAAAAATAGAAGTTTTGGTATAACAATAAGTCTATATTCCCAATAAAGGCTTTATTCTCAGCACCTGGTAAGGTTCAATTTGAACGCTGGAATCTTCCTATGAGAAGACATTATAAATAACTGCTAAAAGCTCTCGAGAATCATAAATTAATTTGCATTTATTAATGTATTATATTCATACTATTTTTTCTGACCTTTTATTCTTCACTATGTAATAGATACTATGTGTAGATTTTATTTGTGAAAGGATGCTCATAACACAATATTAATATTCATTGTTACTAAGAGTATTTCCCCCAGAATTGATGCTATTATCTGTGCTCATCCAAGTAGAAGCTATAAATTGCTTTACTTGCAACCAACATGCATTACTGCATGACTGGCAGTGACTTGGGCAATGAGTATCCTGCTTACTGACCAGAGGTCAGGGTGCGATGCCATTGCCACCAAGGGAGATGAATTCTTAGGTATAGACCGTATAAATTCTGTACCTATACAGTTTACAAGTAACAATTCTGAATCTGCCACAAAGTGTATCTTAATGTTCTTTTGAAAAATTAGTAAAATTATATATTGAGTATAGCTAACGTAGTACTTAATACAAAACTGGCTTTAAAAAGTATGTATGTGCATATGCGTGTGCATATGAAGCATGTACTAACAGATAAGAAGTTAAACTTAAAACCTAAGTTACATAAAGTAGGTGGAAGGAAGATAAGGATTTATAGTAAATGTGCATATTAAATGATTTAAGAGAGAATGCAAAATTGAGATGGAGAAACAAAGTTACAGGGCATTTCAAGTTTCTGGGAATTGCAAAAAGTAACATGAATTATCTGGGATAATTGTGTGAATAGCCAACGAATCTCTTATTTGCCTTAAGGCCCATTCTGTGTGATGGAACCCATTCCTGACATTGCTAGGGTGACTAAGAACCTGAAACTAGATATCACAGAGACCTGGGATAAAACCAAATACTATTGTTTGGAGAAAAACAGAAACAAAACAAAAGCAATAAAATGACTCCTAATAACATTTAACATTCTGCTATACTCATAGGTCAGTAACTTACTAAGCCATAATCAGAGATGCTTTTACTTGCTACAGATGAAAACAAATGCAGAAACCCACATCTGAACATGGTACAGAGAGTGAAAGACCTTCAAACTCTGAACCCTAAATGGAATGCTCTCACCAAATCCCTCACCTCAGGACTCAGTGAACCCTGAGGAAGAGGAGGCAGAAAGAGTGTAAGAGACAAAGAGAATGGAGGCCACAAGTAATCCTCCAAATGAGCATGATAGATATACATGCATCCAAAGAGACATGCACACAGCCTGGATCCCTAGGGGTTCTACACTAGATGCCCAACAGAAAATGAACTCAAGGGCATTTTTGTAGGTTACTTGTCTCACAATGCCCTGACAGGGATTTACACACACAGTTTTAAATTTTATCTTATTGTTTATTTAATTTGTACTTTTTCTTCTCTCTTTTTACCCTAACAGGTCCTTTCCATGTGTTTTATGATTTTCACTTTAATGTTTTTATGAGATTTCTAAGCAAGTGGGATTCTGCATCCATATTTGTTTCCTTTGCCTTTTCCTTGTCTGTTTTCCCTCTATTTGTTTGATTTATTCATTTCTGATGTGTTGTTTTTTATTTTATCTTATTATAATTTCTTTTATTATTATACCTTAGAATTCTGTTTGCTTTCTAATGAGAAAGAGAAACAGGGTGAGCTATGTAGGAAGAAATTTGAGAAGAACTAGGGGGAATAGGGGGAGGGGGAGCTATAATTAGGATATCTTATGAGACCAAAATCTGTCTTCAAAAAAGAAAAAAAGTACCAAATAACAATCATACCTTAAAAAAGTAATGATCATGAAATTTTGCTACAGAATAAAGATGGCAAAGTATAAATTTAGGAACAGTGAAATTGATTTCTTACAGAGTTAACAACATTCTTGTCACACAACCAGCAATCCTATGATTCACAACCATGGTGCTACTCCAGAAAAGCACATGCAAATGCTGCAATCAAACATATTCACAGGTCGTCCTGCCAGGATGAGCAAGGGATATAATAGTCCCTTGCAAAGGTATGTTCTCTACCTCATGACAGCTGTTTAGACTTGGAATTCATATGCCAGCAAAAGAGCAATTAGCCAATGTTCTGACATAACAATGTCCTATGCTTGTAGAGGATGAATGCTAACTGGGTTTCCTACGAGTCTAAAGGAGCCACAAAGAAGAGTCCAATTCGTGAGTTCTATTCCGCTAGAAGCTAATAAGTGGCAAGGGACCAGAAAGGGCAACTGACAAGCAGCTGGCAGTGAGGTGGCTACATTTAAACACACTTCCTGACGATTTTTATTCCAGGGATATAACTGCAAACATTTTGTGCAAATCAGAGAGAAAAGAAAAAAAATCCTAAAAGCCGCCTGCAGTAGGCATCCTTGACTCTGTAACTTACTAAGTAGGAAATTACTGTTTAGCTATGCTTTGGTGAAACGACAAAGACTGTGTAATTGTTAGACTGCATTTAAAAGAGTAAACTTTCCATTCCATACCATCTGTCTCGGGGGAGAAGTCTAAATTCCTTTTCATTGCCTTACAGTTCCTCCTGTAGTCCTCAATTCATGTGGTAAGGCAGCATTCAAGACACAATAAAACTTACCTATAGTAGGAAATTATATCAAAGGTGGAATACTTTCCTCTTGTGCATAAGATTGGAAAAATCTAAATGGTTGGCAAGTTTCTACTTGAGACAATATGGTGGCAAGCACATTTCTATTCCTCTATGCTATGGACTTCTTAAGCCCTGATTACAAATGCCTTGACATCAGCGGACTCCTGCTTTCAATTTACAGCAAATGATTATCACCATCAATATTTATAAACTTGGTTTTGTTTCCTTGGCTCCTCTGCTGGATGCATAAATTTCTACTTACTTCCTAGTTTCAAAACTGCATATATGTGTGTATGTGCGTGTGGTATGTGGTCCCAATTTCTGTGTTTTGTTATTTGCAATATTGCCATAGTTTAGACATTTTGCAATTAATTTTTATTATTTGAGATAGAGATGGAAAATTTGATTACTTTATCCAGACACTGAACTACCATATAGTATATAAAGTCCTGAAAAATAAAGCCATAAAGTTTATTAATAAGTCTCTGTTAAGAGCTTTTCTCTCCAAAGCAACATAAAGAAAATCATTCTCATAGTTCTAAATCTTAAGTCATCACCCTCAAGTAAACGGAACTTTGATACATCCTCTGCATGTGTAGATGTGTAGATTTTTATAATCTTTTCTTAGTCTACAAAGTCTCTTAAAAATAGTTTCTAGGACAACTAAAAATGAGGTCCTGATAATACAGATTTGATTTAGCATCAAATGAGTCATTCAATTAGACACCCTAGAAGACACCTGCCTTCCTCGGAATTTTTGCTGTTAGACTTATAAAAAACAGAATTTATTTTGGGACCTGTTGAACTATGTTGATCCACGCATTGAGAAATGTTGTTTGTACAAATATAGATTGGCTACCCCTTATCTAATATTCCTGGGCAATTCATATCTGGAACTTTTTTCAACATGGAGGTATTTGTATATACATTAGATATCTTGTGGGTGGTAACAAATTCTAAGCCACAAATTCATTTAAACTTCTTATATGTATGGCCTGAAGGCAATTTTATACAATATTTCTAGTGTGCCAGTATGCTGACTTTGGCATACACTAAAAGCTCATGCGTGGAATTGTCCACATGTGATATAATTTTAGCACCTGATGAGTTTGCTTGAAGATCACTTCAGACTGCAGAATTTCAGAATAGACAAACTTTTGAATGTCTTATTAAAATTTAAGTTCTTAGAGGAAAGATTTATAAACCCCAAGCAATAAGGGCTTAGTTCTTCCCCCACCACCAGGTAGTGGTGTAGAAAAATCCCTACAAAGACCGGGAAAACAATGGTTATGTTCTTAAAGAGCAAGAAAGGACACTTGAAGGTCTTGGGACCACCTGGTCATTCAGAGTACCAAAGTTAGCCCATTTCACCTAAGTGAAGTAAATTAGTTGAATACGAATACCAGGCAACTGAACCAAGCCTCGCTCCAGACCTGTCCACGATTTCACAGGGACTGTATGTTCTCACTACTTTCTGTTGTCATTGATATTCTATGGACACATTTTGAAGCCCATCTCACCATCACAATGTAGCTTGCACATATCTGAAAGTGAACTCTGGTATCTCAAGGGAAATACATCATTTTATTTATTGAATTTCATACATTAATGATAAAATTCTAAGGAATCAGAGTTATGGATCCATGCAAGTATTTAGGAATTTAGGAAGATTCTTCCTAAAAGTCTCAAACCTGTTTTTTTTTTTTTTTTTCTCACCCACAGATAGAAAGCCCTGGCGTTTGGCACTCACTACCTGTGGGTGGAGTGCTGTGTAGTAGATTCATGATTCCCGCCACTAATGCTAATGTGTCTAATCCAGTTTGTCCATTTTGACAAAAAAAAATCTGCTATTCTGTGTGAAAATGATGTCAGACCACTATTATTCCCCAAGTCACAGGTGAAGTCTAAGTCACCAGTGGTCCAAGTGTAGTTAAATACAAGTAACCATCCTATCGATAAATTTCTAAATCAGAGACATATCAATATATCACACTGATCAGCTAAGCGCTAAATTATGGAAATACATGCTTACATTTCTTTCAGATCAGTATTTATGATATTCAGAGCCTCATTCCTCAGTTATACTGGGGATTGTCTCTAGGAAACGGCAGGGTCACACCACCTCATTTCCTCTCTCCTTTTTTTCTGTCCCTAGGAGCATGAGCAGCTCACCTATTCCTCCACGAGGTCCAAGGCCCCCAGTGTCATCATCACAGGTCTCAAGCCATCCACCAAGTACATATTTCATATCCGAGTGAGGACTGCGGCAGGATACAGTGGCTACAGTCAGAAGTTTGAATTTGAAACAGGAGATGAAAGTAAGTTTCACTAAAGGATATAAAGTAAGATGGTAATTTAGGACTATTCCAGTTGACCTGACAATTCAAAACCAGGTTTCCCAATTTTTAAAACCCTTTCCAAACAGGATTCAGTTCATATAAATACTCATGTACTCATTTGAGTTACTGCTTTGATGCTAATCAGTAAATACCTCCTGAAATGTCTTGCTCTCAATCATGGGTCACAACTATGTCCCTTTATACAAAATGTATCACACATGCTATTACACAGCATCTGAATGGATGGTGTGAGTCTCATTGTTTGCCAGTACTGGCATAATAGTACAGCACTAATGAAAACCGGGAAGAGATCAGGCCTCAAAAGAATGGTCTCAGCAATCAGTTCAAAATATGCACATTTGGCTTGTTGTCCCAGATCGATAAAAACAGTGGTCAGGAAACCTATTCCACCAAGGTGTACAAGATTAAATATAGATGCATAGACTTTATGATAAACTTGTATCATTTCCACGGGCTCAGCACATGGAAAACCAAAAACTGAGTGAAGGGGGTGAAGCTCTTCTTCATTCTAAACCCAGACATGCTAGTGAATACAGAGCTCCATAACTGTTTAATCTTTGTAGGGTGCTAGAAAGGACCCAACATTACAACCATGTCTAGTCACTGCAGCCACTGTTGAAGCTTTGCCTGAGGTCTCAGCACCCAGTTCTTTTCCTGTTCTATAATGACTGCCGTTTTCAGAAATAATCCTGCTTCACCCTCCCAGCCCTGGAAGCCTTCTTGACCCCTTTGTTCAGAATCAGAGACATTTATACCTCATTGGCACCCTGTGACTGTACATGCCACCAATCCATTATTTTTAATTCAAATTTACATTTTCTTCCCAGATATATAACTGGTAATCTATGAGAATATAAATGGCCACAGCTCTACAATTTGAGTTGTATCCTTGGAGCCTCACACAGAGCATGGGTGCTCTAGATGTTCTATATATTGTTGTTGGGCAGAGTAAATATTACAATTTTTATGATTGAGTATGCAACTGTCAGTTAATGAAGAGCCTTTCTTCCATATCTTAGAAAAATTTTAGAATTGATATCGAGTACAATTTTTACATCAGACCTCATTTTCTCATGTGACTAGATTCTAAATTTATTCTAACTATATTTCCCTTGGTGAATTTTCCTGAGAGTACATTTGTAACTTAACAATCCAATACTCACATATGTGCTTTGAAAAAGTAGATGAATTATTTCTATTATGAAATAAAGAGAACTCACTAGTTGTTAACTTTTCTAAGCTTTGCAGTAAATTTTGGTCAATATAGATACTTATAAATATAGATGCTGTGAGAAGGTAGTGATGCACACCTTTAATCCCAGCACTTAAATGGCAGAGGCAGGTGGATCTCTGTGTGTTAGCCAGCCTGGTCTACAGAGCGAGTTCCAGGACTGGCTCCATAACTACTGAAAAACCCTGTCTCAAAAATAAAATAAAACAAAATAAAATAACAAATAAATATAAATACAAAGAAAACCTTCAGCACACAAAAGACAGTGGCCTTTGCTTTATTACTTAGGCTACACATGACAAGTGGTTAGAGAAAAATGGTCAACAGAATGTGTCAGGAACACATTTTTGGAGAAGTTGATATTGATTTCATTGCATAACTATATTTGGTTATTGATAAAATGTCTTCTTAATCACTTTAAGGACTATCACAATATTAAACACCCACATCCTGGGTTTACTTTTAATTTTTATTGATTAATTTTATCTTTCTCTTAATTTTTTTTGGGGGGGGCTTCCAAGATAGGGTTTCTCTGTGTAGCTTTGGAGCCTGTCCTGGAACTCACTCTTATAGACAAGGCTGGCCTCGAACTCACAGAGATCCGCCTGCCTCTGACTCCTGAGTGTTGGAATTAAAGACGTGTGCCACCATTGCCTGGCTTTAAAATATGTTTTATTCTGTGCTGGAGTTTGCATTTGGTCATATAAAGAAAGAGTACATCCCCTGAAGCCATTAAAGATACACTGGAAATCTTGAATGGGACCAGCCTAACTCCAGGCATGTGCACAATTCTACACTGAGCAATTTGCACAAATTATTTCCTTTAATTCTAACAGCACTATGCCTCTTTTTAGAAACATAATTAGCTGCATCCATAATTGTATGCTAGAGAGTGGAGGTAATGGATGAAAGCCCTAGAACTGGCTAACAGTAGCTTTAGAAGACAGTGAACACTCGGTTTTCAGTATGGAAATGACTTTGATAAGACCCTTGGAAAGATAAAGTATCTGTGAAGAATCTGAAAAATATGTTTGTATAAATCTGTGTTCAGAAATATGTAATGATTCCTAAGTCAATTACAGCAAAAGGAAAAAGCATATAAAGGCTCATTTTTATTAGACCAGCTCTAAATTGCATTTTAAAGCATATTTTTTATACCCAGAAGAGAATTCCATTTAATAATGTCTTAGTAGGATGGGGGCAGGTTTGCCATAATTCTCTAATATGATGATATGCACCCCAGTTGATAGCATCTGTCTTTTCCTCTTCATTTTCTCCTAGCTCACATGTAAATTTTTATGGCTTTTGTTTCTCAAGTAGTATATGAGGTATTATGATGTTAGTTTTATTACTAAGTACTCCCTTGGGTCTTCCATTTAATTAACTAACTTTATAATACACTCATAGAGAATGGGTAGGGGCTGTGTGGATTAGGCTCTCTCTCAACTGATGGCCTACTTCAAATTTTTTAAAGTAAGTAGAAAAGTTTACTCTTCTGTTCTCTTCTGCTATATCTACTTTACTTGTTCAGTAAACTATTGTTTATTCTCTAACAAAACAATACAATAAAGAATAAATTAATTCTTTTTCAAAATTATAATGATGTTCTTTTTCTTTTTTTCTTCGAGACTGGGTTTCTCTGTAGTTTTGGAGCCTGTCCTGGAAATAGATCTTCTAGACCAGGCTGACCTCGAACTCCCAGATAACCACCTGCCTCTGCCTCCCAAGTGCTGGGACTAAAGTTCTCTGCCACTACTGCCAGTCTATAATGCTGTTCTTAACCATTAATATCTACTGTACTCTAAATGATGGTGATATCCAAAGCATAGTTATAGTAATATCTCCTAAACGTCAGAGTCAGTGCCTTTACTTACTTACTTTTTCATTCATTCATTCATTCATTCGTTCGTTCGTTCGTTCATTCATTCATTCATTTATTATTGCGTCATTAGAATTAGCTGGCAGAAAATAGATAACAGATGTAAAGATTATTAATTATGATTGCTAGACTATAAAAACAACTTACATTAACTAGATTGATAGCTTTCTTTTCTCCTCTATAGAATAACATTATTGCATATATATATGGAGTTATATATTTTTGGTAGATTAATAATAGATATTGATTTATAAGTATGTATCTGCTCAGTTGCTTGCAGAGTACCACATTATTTCTTTTTACATTTAATGCTAAGCACTGAACCAAGCAATATTTACATATTGTTGCCAATTTTATGCTGGACTTTTAAGTATCATGTTTGATCTTTTTCTACTTTATTAGAATAAAGTAAACAAAATTAGAACATTTTAAACAATAATTGTAAGAAAATAAGAATATAGAATATTTTGTGTGGACTTAAAAGGCACCCAGAAACAGTATAGATGCTAATAACTTTTTTCAAATTGAAATAAATTGATATAATACTCCAAAATATCAACAACAAGCTATATACCACTAGCTGGTCAAGTACACTTTGTTATGACTGAGATGAATGAATTTTCAGAAAATGTTAATTGCCTCAAGCTTATTATTTATATCCTTTTAGTCAGAATTTTGAATGGATGAAAATTAAAATAAAAATTATATCATCAACATTTTCTATATCTTTAACACTGCTTTAATATATTTCATATCTTGTAAGATAATAATTTGTTAAAATTATACACATTTTAAAAGGAACAAATATTTTTAAAGATTATGAAATCAAACACTTATTTTATTTAAATCACTGTCTATATTAATTTCACATTCACATAATTTTAAATGCATAAGATATAATTGTATATTTAAACGCAAAATAAAATAGATTATATTTATATTGAATTTTTTGCTCTCTAGAAATAATGTTCAAGCTATCCAGTGGGAGCAGAATCTATAGTTAAACCTCCACATTATTAGAAAATTGGGGCTCTAATGTAATGATTGGCCATTTAATTCTTTTCTTCACCTGGTTATTATCCAGGTGACCTGAGAAAGCCAATAAAATATGTTTCCCTGCAAGCATCGGTTATAGCTTGCATTTTTACATTGTGTAAATTTAGGTTTCACCTGTAGACTATGTACACAGTTTGCATCACAAAAACCACATCTGTCAGCAATTTTAGATGTATAGTAATTGATTCTCAACGACTGACTGGTTTTATATATCAAGAAATAAACACAGAAAAACCATCACGAACAGCATTAACAAACTAAGACATGAATTGCTAAATCACAGTAATGTGTTTTAAATTTTCTCTTAAACATTTATACCAAAAATGGAATATATATCTGAATGAATGGACTTAATCACTAAGTATTTTGAAAACATCTGTAGAAATTAGCTAGTTTATTGAGATCTGATTAGAATCAATTGGTTCATTTGAACAAGGTGCTGATGAGAGGGATCCTAAATGAGAAGATCCAAGATTGCCTTTAGTTCTTTCTTTCCTAATGCATTCTTCATGTGCTAGAACAACTTATGTTTCTATACTCCATTTTTTTTCAAATCAATTCCTAAATCATTGGTTATTAAGTAGTCATATATTATTAAATAAAATATGAATGTCTCAACAAGTAGTACTCTCCCTTCAAATCAAATCTCGGTGGACATCATCTCTTTATTTCTCTTTCTTAATGTGAACTCTGTGAAAGTAAGATTGCTTAAACACTTCAAACACAAAGTTTTGATAATGTCATCATATCTCAGATTCTTCCAATACTTCCAACTGAAACATTCAGAAAACT